CTGAACCCCCAAATTAGGATTGACTGGCAGCTTTGGCTCAGGTATGGCTCTTTTGGCACTCCTGGGGCAAACCGTAGAAATACCAAACTTTGGCATGCCTCTGGGCTTGCTTTGGCACTTTATGGCGGACCAGAGAGAAGCCTACTTTTTGTCCCCGAATTCCCAAATTGGGATTTATAATGGCTCAAGTATGGCACCAACTTTGGTGTTCTTCTGCCGGACCAGCAATGCTAAACTTTGATATGCCCCGAATTCCCAAATTAAAATTTACTATGGCAATTGTGGATAAAGTATGGCACCAACTTTTGCGCTCCTCTGCCGGACCAGAGCAATGCCAAACTTTTGTATGCCCCGAATTCCCAAATTAGAATTTACTATGGTAGTTATGGCTGAAGTATGGCACCAACTTTTGCGCTCCTTTGGCGAACCAGAGCAACACCGAACTTTGGCATGTCCGAAATACCCAAAATGGGCGTTGCTCTGGCAGTTCTGGCCTAAGTATAGCACTACTTCGGCACTCCTGTGGCGAACCAGAGAAACGCCAAACTTTGGCGTGTCTGAAATACCCAAATTAGGAGTTGCTCTGGCAGCTATGGCTCAAGTATTGGGGAGGAGATCGAATGGTGGCGCTGGCTAGCGGCCGCCGTCGCAACTATTTTGCGGGAATAACAATTCCGCCGCTAGTATTCGTTCAGCCATGGAGGACGAAGACTTGAGGCTCGTGAAAGGTATGTGGAATAGTTATCTGCTCGAAAAGCATCTGCAGGGGGGGTAGCATTAGTCCCTGCTTGTCTCGCTTTGCTTTAAATGTCGCCGCTATCTCGTTCGAAGCAAAAACCAACCCACGTCTAGCCGCTAGCGATTGGCCGCGTCGCTCCGGCTGCGCGTGCCAGGTCGTGCGTGATTGACGCGGTGTGGCGATGTTTGTGCGCTTCCTAGGTTGGAGAAACCGTACTCGCGGAACTCGCGCATTGCTTTTCAGTGTCCTTGTCACTTGCAACAACAATCAGCCATATCGGCGAGAGCAAGAGATGCCTCGTTGAAGGCGAAGACGTATCGAAGTCCGATCATGTGATAGAGTGCAGCGTCGCCCCGGAGCTGACGGCTGACAGCGTCCGCATCGTCGGATACGTCCTCCAGTCCTGCGCTCTGCACAGCGATCCGCATACAGTGCATCTCACTCTGAACAAAGGGGAGATTGTCTCTCTGTGCTGCACGTGCCCTGCAGGGCAAGAATGCACGTTTCCACTGCGTTTTTTTTTAACGAGAGGGGTTAGGCGATAAACCACGTTTTATTAGACGACATCAGTTCCTTCATCGTTCTCTTAATCTGCAAGGTAGTTTTGTTATGAAATGTTGCACTGCCTAGGCATTCCGTAGTTAAGAACTGATTTAAGTGAGGAAATCTACGAGGTGTTGTAGAAGTGGTGTAGAATGCAAGAGATATAACAGATGTGTGTTTGTGCTGCCCCCAGAAAGTCAAGCGAATGCAAGCACTGCACTGCTGTCCTGCTGAAAACCAACAGGATGCAAGAGCTTCCAGTTGTCAAGCACAGACTTGCCGCAGGCTTGGGGCCAGCATGCGAAGGATGTCGTCAAGACCAAGTATGCAGTGAGGTCTCTCATGGAGATCCCCTTCTGCCCAAAGGTGAGTGCTGTGCACAGCGAATATGTGCATATTTTTTTTGAAGTCCCGCTATCTTGAAATGCCAGTGCAGATTTATAACATCTGTACCCTGCATGTAGGTAGATATAATGCTTGTTTAAAAATAATGGTAGCCTTCAATAGTGTATGCATGCTTTTATAACAAGTGCATTGCTGGTCGGATTGACAGCGCATGATCGCCGTGCAGAGTTCAGTTACGTTTAGCTCGGGGCCAGAATGCGCCCAGCCAGCTGGCGACAGCCTGGGCTGGCACTTGGAAAGTACGCCTGAAACTAGAACTTGGCTGCCATGTTAAAGAATATGCAAACAGCTGGAGCTAGCTGCTGAAGTTCCTGGAAAATGCTCGAGTAGCTGGAGACAAGTCGCTCACAACAAAAGGGACCTCCAACCATACTAAAGGCAGAAAAATGGCCCTGCAGATCGCTTCCCGATACTCCATTGTCTACCTTTATTGCAAGCCTGTCTCGGACAACATCAGGGCTAGACAAAGGCAACAATGCCAGTCCGACTCCGAATAATGAACCAGGCAGCTACCCTGACCGTTATTCCAGCCAGGGTGGTTGTGTCCAAGCCGCATTTAAGTTGAGGGTAGAATGTGGGGTGCGGTTGCTCAGAGACGCCTCTAGGTACCCTAACCAAACAAAGACCCCTTTGGACACCATTGACTTGTCTCCAGAAACACTGGTGAGCAACTTCCGTTGTCTTGGAAGCCGGTGCCCAGTTCTGGTATGGGCCTCTCTCCAAGAGCCTTGTCCTGGCTGCTGGTCTCTCAGTGTTCCATACAGACACATCACAGATAGCCAGGCGCATTAGGGTATTAGTGGATAGTCTGTTTTAAATATTTTCGTGCCAATTATGTTTAGACTGGTTTAAATTTTTGTGCTGAGCTTCAACTGCGGTGAACGTAGCGAAACATAGCAAAAAAAGTTTCTTGAAACGTGCATTGCTTGGAAACAAATTGTTCGGCGTAATGAAATTTACTAAACCAAGCAAACAGGATCCCTTCCTGATGAAAGATGCCAGCTTGGCGTGGCCAATTGGTGGTAGAAAAGTGGCTGGCCAATTGGCTACATGTTTACCCTTAAACTGTGGCCGCAAGCGGCTGTCGTCTGCTAGCCACTGCGCCCTGCGCCTCTACAGTGTATTCCGCTGCTGAGTGGCAGTCATGGCGACAAAGCGTTGCCATTGTTTTTTTTGTTTTTAAAAGAGATTTCCTACATCTCTGACCAATCACAATCTTTGATGCCATCAGCTATATGAGTTTAACATTAACCTAGATAAGGGGTGTTTGTGGCTCGTGGAAATTAAAACATGATGCTCTATCTAAGACTTGGTGAATTACTAATTGTTCTCTGGATCTCAAGAGTCACGAAGGTGAACAACACATTTAATTGAATGTACCTGCAAACTATTACAGTTCAAGCGACCTGCCTTGCCAGCCGTCGAGCGTTGTGTCGTGGACAGACTTATGGAAGGCCTTCCGCACATCTGTCCTGTCGCTATTCACAAAAGGAAGAGAACACGAAAAGGTAAATCTCGTTTTTTTTTGCAAAGACTTTTCTCCCAATCTCTTGTTTAAACATACCTAACTCATTACAAGGTGCAGTCATGCCTTTTTCTATGGCGAAACTAGTAAAGTGCAATGCCGTAACATGTGAAAGTTATCCCAGTTGTGATCTTGTGACTCTAGGCACTGTTCCACAATGGGGCTAAGGTAGGCCAGAGCCGTATATGTAGAGAGTTTGGTCAATGGGAGGCGCAGGCAGAGCCAGGGCGTGCGGCAGACTCGGAAAGAGGGCTTGCCATGCTCTCTTCACCAACCAGAAGCCGAAAAGAATCCCCTAGCGGTGATAGCGAGAAACAGTTCTGATCGAAAGTCTGTGTTCGTATATGGTTTTAATAAGTGCGTAAGAGTGAAGTGTAGTAACTCTTGGTGGTTGAAAATAGGCTCACGTGTTGTTTTGATCATGATTATCGAGAACGATGTAAGAAACGAATGCGCCGCTCAACTCTGTTTTGCGCGGACAGTGTGTGACCGCTCAAATGGCAGATTCTCGGCCCTTGGCGTTTGACGTACGGATTATGTCGATCGTTCCGCTACTTGCACTCTTCCACCATCATTTTTGATGAGCGTGATTGGTACATCACGTGTACCATATTTTCAGCCATCCAGAGTTACTCCAATGCAGTTATCAGGTTTGTTCCCGCGACCACCGCCAGGGTATTATTTCCGGCTTTTGGTTGGTCACATTCGAATTTCTGAAGACGCCCTGGAACACGCCCAGCCCGCTTTCGGCCAATGGCGCCTCCTCATTGGTCTCCTATACTTCCCAACAAATGGCCAAACTCTCTACATATACGGCTCTGAGGTAGGCTAATGCCCACCAGTATACTATTATAACTCCTGTGCCATAAGTTACGTCCCCTATTTCAGAGACAGGTGGAGCCAGCACTTCAGCAGCTGTGCCTCGACCCTGAAGCCTGCTTGAAGCGCTTCAGGACCTGCCTGAGGAGGAGACCGAAAACCTGCTGGAGCAACTCAAGCGCATAATGACACGAGAGGCTATTGCGGAAGTTGAGCGCATGACAAGGGCACAGGCCTCATCATCTGATTGGATGCTGTACAGGAGGGGTATGGCCACTGCATCCATATGCCGTGGGTTCTTTACCCGCGCTGTCACTAAAGGCTCAACCACGGCCGCACAACTTGAGAGGTCTCCTTGACAAAGTGTTGCAAGTCAGCACATTTCAGTCAGCGTCAATGAAGAGGGGACAGCAGAAGGAGGGAACTGCGAAAGAGAAATACCTATCAAAGCTGGTGAAGGAAGGACATTGTCCTAGGATTGAGAACGGAGGGCTGATAATATGGGGCCAAATGCCCATTATGGAGAGTTCGCCCGATGGGATCGTGGTGTTTGAGTGTGAATGTTGTCAGGGAAAGCGGGTGCTTCTGGAAGTCGAATGCCCAGAGGTCGTCTAGAATTCGTTCTGTAAAAAAACTAGAGAGCCCCAGTCCGTCTACTACATGCAGATGCAGGTTTGCATGGGTATCACTGCACTCGCAAGTTGCGACTTTTTTGCTTGTCTCAGAAACAGACTACAAGCTAGTTGAAGTGAAGTATGATCATGCTCACTTCGAGGAATGTGTGCATGCTGTACGGTCAATATATGTGGACTATCTTTTCGCTGAGCTAAGGGGGGCATTTAACTAGCTTCCTTTTTTGTTTTTATCCAAGGTGTGCTGCAGTACTGTGCGCTATGGAAGCCGTGCAAAACGACTACTGTGCAACCCTCTTGGGCAAATCAGGCATAGAAACAATGAGGCACAATTGAAATGAACTTCTTTATTTCTCATTTTTTAGCACACGCTTAGCATGGATATAGCTTCGCATCATAACTGACACGCCGTCATCAAGACTACCCATGCACCCATCAAGACTAGGCGCACTGATGTCAAGTGTATTTGTCGTGAGCCAATTCATAATAACTAGAGGCTTATTTTTTTAACTATTTACTCATTTATTTAGCATACGTGCAATCTAGTTGAGATACTGTCCCATCATTTTCATCTCTTGATGACAGCGCGTAAATGACGTAAGGCCAAGCAAAAGCCTCCTGCAATATTCACTGCTGACTACCGTGCCCAATATTGCAGCTACATGACATATTAGTTCCAAAGCGAGCAGTGCTCGCTCACAAAGGCACCGCCATGTTTCCCTGCTGCCTTAATCTTCCAGTCACGTGACCCAAAATTTCCCCTCGTAAGGAAATGCGATTAAATTTTTACTGCGGTTAAAGTTAACCGGCTTTTAGAAAAATTTCATAAGCCTCGCACAAAACTGGTCTGAAGTTGCACTGATCCCATCCAGCATACCGAGTTTTCTGTTACACATTTTATAGACTAGCACCTTTTCCGCACAAAGCCTTCATCACATTGCGAGCACTTTTCCCGATGTTTGAACCCGCATAAATGATGATACAAGCCGCTAATACGCATATTTACTCTATTTACATGTGGCTTCCTTGCCAGCTACAGAAACTTATCTTCTGCAAAAATTGGCAGTGAAAGGTTTACGATACCTGCAAGGAGCTGCATTACATCGTCAAACAGGAAGCAGGTGCTTAGGAAAATGATGCTGCAGAATCTTGAACACTTTTAGTCGTTGAATGGCACGTTCCACGTGGACACGTGCAAGTGCGATATCTTGGTTCCCGAGTGCGTCATGTTGAGTCATCTGTTGCTTGTTCCTCAGAAATGGAGGCTGCACAAGCTCGACAAGAGCCTCGTCGCAAAACTTGTCAATAAGGAAGCCCTTGTCGACCATTACCTGCTCGTACGGTGAGCACCTCTCCAGAACTCGATTCCTTTGTGATAAAAGAATGCGAAGTCCGTCCCCCAAAAGCACGGCTCACGAACGTAAACATGCCAGTTGGTGCGTACCCAATCAGCACTTTTAGGGTGTAGGTTTTCTTATAATGACTGTACATCAGTATCCTGGATGCAAGGTCAAGTGGTCGCTGGATGGGGATCTCAGTGCAGTCCAGAATAACTTTCGTGCGAGGAAACTTTTAAAGTAAACTGTGAGGTTGTTCTCAATAGACTGGTCGCAGGGAACATACAGGGCTGACCCTAAAACCGAACTCAGGACACAAAGGGACATCTTCACGTTCTCAGACGCCGTTGTTCTATGTATCCTGAAAAGGAACGCTAGGAAACTGATAATGACATCATGATAGAGCTTCATCAATGTGATGAGCACAGTGTCACCTGAAGAAAGCAGGAAGCTCCTCGAAGAAAGCTTTGCTCGCACACTATCGAACTCTGTTACAATGTTTCTCATTAGTTGTAGAGATCCAACCCCAGTTAGTGAGGCAAGCTCGCTGTCACTTTTAGCTTTCGCCAAGCGAACGTGGGGCCCTAGCTTCGCCTGCAACATGCTGTCTACTTGAACGCAGGCATCCTGGGCAGGCAATTCCTTTTGGATGTTCGAAAGGGAGTCGTGGGGCCCTACAAAAAAAAAAAAAAAAAGAATGTAACAGAAATTTACATTTTCAGCATTTCCTTACAGTGTGTGTGCAGTCATGACCCACATGGATGTGAACGTCGGATCACCAACCACTCCGTACTGGCAGTGCCATGGAGCAGTGGCCATAGTGCCCTGCAGCTCAGTTCCAGAAGCGTCAAAAGGCGAACAAGCTACCATGGCCATCGCTTCATGATGCTGCAGGTGCGGAGTGATTGATGGTCTTATGTTCACCTTCATATGTACCATGACTGCAGCGAGGCTACACAAAATACAGCCGTGTCATATGGTGCCTGTAAGCAGCTTTTTGCGGCCCACAGTGCAACCAAAGTATTTGCCACTATCCCGGAAACTGTAGAATTTCTTTTTTGGAAAGCTGAAACTATCCCATGCTCCCCGTCCTCCTCTACCCCATCCGATTCCCCGCATCGTCCCCGATCCGATAACTGCTCGGAGTACACTGACAGCCCTCAGATGCTCAGGAATTTTCCACACGCCCTCGCATCTCACCATCACCTTGATGCCTTCAGTCCTAATTATCAGCCCTCTTTGTTCACCTCAGGAGAGGCTCGCCCCTCCCCCCCCGGACGCCGCTGATGCGGTACCATGGTGCTAGGCCCCCATGGCCGATATTCACCAAGCTTCTCCAGACGCCTAACACTTATTTTTTCACCTGGCTCTCGAGTAAGGGGCTCTTTATTTTAATAAAGATTTGTCCTCCTGCCCAAGTGTGAATCTTTCTGCTTGACCAACACTGCTTTTTCATCAAGTTCCGCCAAAATGTTATGACCCTAAAGGTGAAAACGGCAGAACACGCACAAAATGAATACAACAGCATAGGTGGCAACTATACCAAAGCATAACTTCCATAAATGTTTCCAGCAATGGAAGACTGCTGGGTTAAGTGTTCAAATGCGCGAGGAGCATACTTCGAAGGAAATTTAGGAGTTGGACACCGCAAGTATAACCAATCTTTTTTTCAGGCAGTCGCTGGAAATGAAATGTTTTGTAATGCCGAAATCACAATAAATTGGCATGCGGTGGTCACAAAACTTGCATTGTATTTCACTGTCACTGCAGTGACTGCTGGTCTCCGCGCAGTGCTCGTCACAGGTGAGAGTGGCCTCGCTGTCCCCATCACAGGAAACGGTCTCATCGCTCTCACCTAGTGTAATTTGCAAGGGATAGTTACAAAACTACTACACTATCTCAAACAAGGAATGTACCAGATAAAAATGCAGGTTGTTATTCTCAGATTCAACCCATTCAAATGGGCAAGGTGGCATTTAGCCTAGCTTTCCAACACTTCTGTATTACACAAGAACAGCCTCTGACATACAAAGAGACAGTAACTTGGCAAGCCGTCATTGAGTGTGAGGAGGTGACCTAGTAATAAACTCACAGTCTGTTGCACATTCTCGAAAGCAGTCAGGAGGTGCTGTGTTGATGCTGCAGCACCAGGAGGCAAGCAGCTCGTGTCGGATGCTGCCCTGTTACCTGTGGAAGTTTCACCAAAACATCAACCAAAATAGTCATTACATTATGTTTTCCTTGAAATGCCAAAATACAGAACACGACGGCGAGCGTTATAATGTAGAATGTTGCTAATTAGACTGCATATTGGCATTAAACGTACAAGTTGTCTTTTTCAGTTAAATTTATCGGTTATTCGAAGGTTCACAATGAAATATCAATGCGTTCTGCACGATGAGGCCTTAGTCATACGCTCATTTGCAAAGCTAGCCTGGAATAAAATAGAGATGAAATGATAGCAGTACCTCTCGGTGGCTTCCGAAGCCTCACGACCCTGTCGTGTGATCCCTTCGGAAGGTTCTCCGACGGAACGGCGTTTTCAAGAACCTCCTCTTGGGCCCTGTTATGAAAGTGGTTGTGCCGGCAGCCGGGCACAACACTCGGGAAAAGAACTGCCGAGAGTTTCAAAGGGCAATAATTATTGTAAAAAAAAAAAAAAAAAATATTGCCAAACGTTTAAAAAAAAAAAAAAAAAAAAAAAAAGTTTGGTTTCCTGGGGATTTGAACCCGCGACCCAACGCATATGACGCGGACAACTTTCCACTGAGCTACTCACGCACCTTCAAATGCACGCTTTGACTATTCCTTTTATACGAAACCCAATGGCAACAACTATCAGCAGCTTTGTTGTTTTTCACCCGGTTAGTTCTACCGGCTGCCGGAAGAATATCCACTACCTATGAAATACAATGTACGGTTTGAACGGATGTCGATGGAAGCGTGATTTACGCGCGTACATACCTCGTCCAGTAGCGTAGTTTGCTTGGAAGGCATCGCGTGAGAATACACGTCGTGCGCAGTCAACTTCTTCTCTACTCTTAACCTTTCCACTGCGATTTCAGTTTCTTTTTCGGCAGGAAAGCTATGAAAGCTACCTCCAGACTTTAAAGCATGCGCTGAGCACTCCGGTACGCAACCCAAGCGTGTACCATATTCTAACAAACCCGCAGGGAACGCGGAAACAACACGGCAGCCAACGGCAGCACACTGGAACATCGGAGATGTGTTTGTTTTGGTGAACGCAGCGCACCCTATAGTTCGATCGTTCGATCTCCTCGCCAATTGACTACTTTGGCGGACCAGAGAAAAGCCAAACATTGGCATGTCCAAAATACCCAAATTAGGCGTTGATCTGGCAGTTATGGCTCAAGTATCGCACTACTTCGGCACTTCTGTGGCAGACCAGAGAAAAGTCAAACTTTGGCCCGTCCCAAATACCGAAATTAGGCGTTGCTCTGGCAGTTATGGCTGAAGTATGGCACCAAATTTGGCGCTCCTCTGGCAGTTATGGCTGAAGTATGGCACCAAATTTGGCGCTGCTCTGGCAGTTATGGCTGAAGTATGGCACCAAATTTGGCGCTGCTCTGGCAGTTATGGCTGAAGTATGGCACCAAATTTGGCGCTACTCTGGCGGACCAGAGAAACGCCAAACCTTGGCATGCCCCGAATTCCCAGATTAGGATTTACTATGGTAGGTATGGCTGAAGTATGGCACCAGCTTTGGCACTCCTCTGGCGTACCAGAGAAGAGCCAAACTTTGGCATGCCGCGCAAACTTTGGCCCGTCCCAAATACCGAAATTAGGCGTTGCTCTGGCAGTTATGGCTGAAGTATGGCACCAAATTTGGCGCTCCTCTGGCGGACCAGAGAAACGCCAAACCTCGGCATGCCCCGAATTCCGAGATTAGGATTTACTATGGCAGATATGGCTGAAGTATGGCACCAGCTTTGGCACTCCTCTGGCGTACCAGAGAAGAGCCAAACTTTGGCATGCCGTAGGATCGCCCAACTTTGGCAATAGTTAGGCACCGTACTTTGGCACTGATGAGTGCCATGGTGCAAAAACCTAACTGAGCCAAAGTTGGGCCCTTATGATTGCCAGAGCTTTGCCCAAGTTGGGCATTCCTCTGGCGTGCTACCTGGGTGTATTCTTATTATGACTCGAATAATCCCTCATATGTTTGATGGTTTCGAAACAAATATTTTTGCCGGGAATGCGCCTGAACTGCACAAACAAGGATGTCGACTAAAGCTGTGAGCTTGGCCGCGTAGTCCCGCCTTCGATCCTACTGTGATATTGAAGGGAGTAAGAGATTCCGTAATGAATTGTCGCTGAAATTTGCATTGCCAAGTACAAGGGATTCTAGAAACTCTACATTTGATGCAACGCGTATTTAAAGTGGCAGAATGGCTACGATCGAATTTTCGCCATTTTTAGTCTAACTCCCGACGGGTGTGCGTGTTGACAATGCCCCATTTGTGCGCGGAACCAAAACATCATACTTTAAAATTCCGCACTCCATCCGGGTCCTCGGAATCCTGGCACGACTGCGCCTCAATTCAGTTTCACCTCACGGTGGACCACGGCAGACGGTACCCGTCACTGCATCCAATTAAATAGCCTATGAGCGTCACATGACCTCCTGGAGGGACGCAGCGACGCACAGAACGCAGAGTCACGTGATCTGAGCACAAAGCTGGAATTGGCTGGGATGGCTCGTAGTAGCCATCGCAGTTCATCGTAAGATATAACGAAGTGTAGACGCCTACGAAGGGAAACAAAGGGGAAACAACACAAAAACAAAGCGGCGGATTAAAACTACGACGCAATAAATAAATTAGGCTTCCAGAGGCGCTCATTCGATTTGCCTCGAACGGGGCGAAAACGCGGAGAAGCTAAGCGAACCGGACGCGATTCCTTCGAGTGTACTCCCTAAAGTGCCCGCGTAACGCCATTCTCAAAATCTCTGGAACCCGTAACACAAAATACAAGCATAAAACAAATCAAACTATCATTCCCGTAAGTGGGTTTCGAAGGAGCGGCATTGAGTTTGCATGTAGGGCGCTTTTGAAACCTGGGAAACGCACATTCGTTGCCCCTTGGTGCAAACTACCCGTAGATAAAGCATCCAAGCCTCAAGGAAGAATCGCACGCTTTTATTATTTTTTTAAGTGTTGCAGCTAAACGCGTTGTGAAAGAAGCCCTGGTACACCTCGGAATGAAGCACCGTATCAAATATTTCCAAGCTTATGTGTCCCAAATGCTTAAAATTAATTAAGTTGCTCTAGTAATTTTAGCCTTGGGAATACATTAATGACCGCGATGACAACTATAAAAAAGGCGAGTTAAGATAATTATTTTGCTAATTAGTCAGCTTCCTAATTTCCTAAAAGGTTTTTAATTGCTTTCTTATTTGAATTTGTGTTTTGTTCTTTTGCTGGGAAAAGGGGGGGGGGGTAATGGAGTATTAATCTTATACCTCAATATGAAAGAGCGTCAGCTCTTCAGTTCTCCTAAATATTTTAGTGCGCGCTACGGGGCAAGAAATTTCACCCTGTACACAGCTCCGAACCGAAACTAAGCAAGCAAAGATTGCCCGTGACGTCGTAACCCTCCACCCTGCGCCGGCTCCGCAACCCGTCTGTTCTCACTGCAGTTGCAGGCGACGCGAGCAAGCACACAGTAGCATATAGTGCAGTAGGCACACAAGGGCAGAGCTGCCGAATCAACGTCCCGGACACTCTTTGCGCGCTTCGTTTCTCGCCCTAATGCACGTATATTTTATTGAAGTTCACATCGCGGCTAGAATACAATCAGGTCGAGCAACAATTTTACAACAATATTAAACTCCCAAGAATTTAAAGAAAAATTAAAACAAAGATATGAAACTTTCAGTTACTTATCCGAAAAGTTAACAAAATGTGTATCTTTCCATTGGCCCCAATGGACTCCAACTTAGCCACGCGACACAAAAGTCCTCAACGCAAGTATCCTTTGCTTAATTTCTAAACGCAACTAACGAAAACCATCTTGAATACCAGTTTAGTATACCTCAACACTACCAAACATGCGTTCGCCGAAGTCTCGAGCAGCACCTGACGAGACCCAGCTACGGGTTCGACGGTTTTCTGAACTTACGGTCGCAGTCACCCGTTAACACATTCGGCTGGGTCCTGGGATGGCTGGATTTACGGTGGTGACGTCCCAAGGCAGCACCAGGCCAACGGAAACGACGGGTTCTGCGGTGCATCACTCAAATACGTCTCCAATCCCGAGATCAAGAGCTGGGTGGCGTCCCGATCAAGAACGACTTCATACGCCATGGCGAAATTGAATGTATCTTCGGACCGATAGGCCCCTAATCACAATTTACACGGTAAGCTGCCGTACAAAGAGGCGAAGATGCAGAGGCACCCGAGAATGCCGACTGCAACACATTCGTAGGCATCAGCCTCGACTGCATGTCGAATTACCGCAAATCTACGGCTCTTAATTTGTAAATATTCAGAACAAAGTTTTTTTTTTTTTTCATTTTTTGTTATTGAATAGATTTATTTTTTACATTTCAATAGTTTTTCCAAATTTCTTCATTCAGCGGATTGAGTTCCAAAAACGTTAAGTCAAAGCACTACTGCACGTGTTATCAAATGTTTTTATCTCGGTGAACGCCTCTATCTCCTGAACTGCAGCCACGAAATCCAAGCAAGCCGTTACATTAATGCAATAAAGTTGTGAAGAGACCTGAAACCTTATACACCAAGATGGAAGTCACCATACCTCAAACCGGAATCTTAAACCTTTTAAAATAAATTTTGTTTACATGTTTCAAATAAACGGGCTGAGAGAGAAGCCATGTACTCTTATGTTTGGTAAATATCCGGATAAAACAAAGCTTAGAAGGCGTTTTTACCGGTCCAGAATGCATAAAATAAGAAACTGGCGGTAGGAATTTTAACCTTAAGACAACACTGAAGGCCAAGAAGACGTAAAGGGGCGATATAAGATAAGTGGTTAAATAAAGTAGGGTTATAGTGCAGAGTGTTTGGCCTATAGTTATGCATTACTGGGTGGATGAGATGTGCTATACTAGTGCAACCTCAAAAATGCTTGACCAGGTGGGAGAGACGGTTTAAGAACTTTGGGAACTCTGGAAAACTCCTAAGCTCACTCTGGGGAATATCTGGGTTTTCGGTTTGAAAACCCGTAGTGGCTAAAGAGCGCACGCCGGTGCGTCTGTTGTTTAAGAAGAAACTACCCAATCCTGCTTTGTGCTTCTCATAAGGCGCGTTTTATTTGGAATCTTGTTGCGTGCTACCTTCGCTTACTTTTTTATCATGGCTTGAGCTGGTGCTCCGAAGACCGAAGAAACCCCGAACCAAAAGTGTGCCAGCCTCATAAACCCCGATGAAATGAGGCGAGCGCGTACCCGAGCTTGTGGATGTTGCTGGATGGTACGTACCTCAAGAAAAAAAAAATTATCCGGCAGACTAGGCGTCGTCGACTTATCCTGTATATTTTGTTTCACTTTGAATCTGACAGCGACCTACGTAACAATCCGATGCCTTTATTCGATCAGCTCCAAGACAGCATCGTCACGGCTCTGGTTGTCATTGTTGGTGCCCTATCACCAGAGAAGCTAAAACGAGCATAAATTATTCTCGGGATTACGTGATTAGTGTAGTTGGTGATTGCAAACACGCAAAATCGACGAGGCCGTGGCCCACGATGCGCTTTCGGTGTTGCTTGATATGCTCCTTTAAAGCGCAGCGTAGGCTGCGTTCGGGCTTAATGTGAAATGGAGTTTTGCCATGCGAGTCACAGCCACTTGGACTTTCAAGCTTACAGTCACAATCATTTTTAACGCCGGAGTGTTAGGGAGCTCGTGTCGCAGAAAAGCCGGCGTTGGGGTCGCTGGCGTTGTGACAGAAAAATCCCGATTGGTTGATGGGGTTACGACGTCACAGCCACCTGTCCTCGCGCGGGAATTTCAAGCAACCCACAACGCTCACGTGAAACGTAACGTCACGCGTGGAATGAAAGCGGTTAAAAAGCATGTCATGTAACGCGAATTGAAGGCCGCAACATGTCTCAAATGATTTCACTTTATTAAGTAATAGATTGGCCTCGAAAAAAATATAAAATTATTTTAGGCGATATTCGAAACCACGACCCTTCGTCTGTGAGCCAGACACGCGATGCGATGCGATGCGAACGGGGCACGATTACGCTATCGCGTTCAACTCTTAAAGGCG